AGGACCTTAAAATCATCTAGTTCCAACCCCCCTGCTGTGGGCAGGGACACCTCACACTAAACCATGCCACCCAAGGCCTCATCCAACCTGGCCTTGAATACTGCCAGGGATGGAGCATTGACAACTTCCTTGGGCAACCCATTCCAGTGCCTCACCACCCTAACAGGAAAGAATTTCCTCCTTATATCCAATCTAATTTTCCCCTGTTTAAGTTTTAACCCGTTACCCCTCGTCCTATCACTATAGTCCCTAATGAAGAGTCTCTCCCCAGCATCCCTACAGGGGATAGATACTGAAAGGCTGCTAGGAGGTCTCCACACAGCCTCTTCTCCAGGCCGAACAGCCCCAACTTTCTCAGCCTATCTTCATATGGGAGGTGCTCCAGTCCCCTGATCATCCTCCTGGCCCTCCTCTGGACTTGTTCCAACAGTTCCACGTCTTTTTTTATGTTGAGGACACCAGAACTGTACACAGTACTCCAAGTGAGATCTCACAAGAGCAGAGTAGAGGGGCAGGATCACCTCCTGAATATTTCAGGAAAGAAAAAAAACACAACCAAAACCAAAAAGTCTCTGCACCTTTATATACTAATTTACTTACAAAGAAACAGTCAAACCTTCAGCTTCCTTCTTTCTTGACATGTTGATACAATTTATTTACATAAACACCCAGGTTTCCTTAGCTTCACTCTTCTCCTGCTTACTGAGCTGGTGAACAGTCAAGGCTCCCCAGCCTCTAGCTCCAAGACCCATTGTCTTTAATTTGCCAGTGTTCACAAATGTCTAATCTTCACACACAAATACTTCCCACAGTTCCTTCTCTCAGTCTGTTTGCACAATCTCAAATCGACTGTCGCTCTTCTGCTCTTAAGTCCACAAGTGTTATTATTCCCAGTATCCCAGTAAAAATAATGAAAATCTCTTTCAGTGCCAAATTTCAAACCTCTTTTCCAGAGCAGTCAGTCTCTTGTCTAATCCTGTGACGAACACCTTTAGTGTTTTTTTTTGTTTGTTTGGTTGTTTTTTTTTAATCTGTATGTACAAATCAAGGAAGCTTTATGTCTCGGAGTCTGATCTTCAAAACATTGCATTTACAGATAATTTTAAAGGATATAATTCTATAAGCACAATTTAATCATTATGAGTCATTGTGGATATGGAAAGAGTAAATCATGTTAATGAAATCTGGTTTCTTTTAAAAAATGAAAAATGTTATTACCCTAGATAAACCAAGAGGCTTGATATAACTGGGTTTTTAAGAAGGTCCAGAGGAAATTTAAAATGATAGATCGTCGTTCTCATTAAAAAACTTTTGTTGTGGATAGAGTAAATCTTTATTAAAAATGGGGTTTATACCTTTCTCCTATATCAAGCACTTGTGACCCAGCATTCGTATCTGAAGGTCAGTGTCTCAAAGGCTGTTTTTTTCCCATCCTTGGTGTTTAGTTTGGGTATTTCAGGGCACCTGCTTTTCCTATAAAGCTATAAGAACTCTAATTGACTCCAGATCTGACCAGTTGCCTGCTTTCAGGGATCAGTAGAACCAAGGTATCAATTAGTACCCAGAAAACCAGGGGATTGGAGGGAAAATGGAAAGGCAGCCACTTAGAATTGAGGCCCCACAGAGCTGTAGATTAACACCATCAGATTCTCATATTTTATTCAATGGTCTAGATAAAGCCGTAATAAGTCATATCATTAAATTTGCAGCTGATACTAAAATAAAGGGAGTATTTAAGACTCAGAGGGATGTAAGAATAATCCTGACTGTAACAAAACGACTCAGAGGCGAGATAGAAAATTAAATGAGTACTCATTTAATGTAATGAAAAGTGACACACTTCAATAATAATAATGCCCAGGATACAAACTGAGACATTTACAACTTAAATTACACTAAGTTAATTAATATGCAAAGAGAAAGTTACAAGTTACACTTGCATTGCCATTCAAAGTTTTAAATGACAGTAAGAAGATATGGCCCCTGTCCTAAAGAGATAACAGATTAGAACAGAAAAAAGCCCCACATTCATTTACCACAGTATATTATGTATATATAACATATTATTAACAAGTCACAGAAGAGTGACTGTGGCCACCACAATGACTTTGTACTACTGTGTTCTCTACAAATTTGTGTGTTATTAGAGGCTACTTCAAAATTACACAGGTATTTTTTGAGAATGTAAGTTGTTACATATGAGAACAGCAGTACTACGTTACCACCTGTCTCAACAATACTCAACAAACTAAAATCCCCATTTCCAAGAGAAGACAAAAAAAAACCAACCCAGTGTCTGAAAGGAGACCTCCAATCCTCTCTCAAGGTTACATGAGAAAAATGGTCTGAGAATAAAGCAAGGAGAAAGCCAGTAAAATGAAGAGGAAAAAGAAAGAGATAACAAGAAACCCCCCAAAACCCAACAAAACCTAACAACTACAACCAAATCAAGAACAAAACAAATATACAAGCAAGCTAAAGACAAAGAACCTTCACTCTAGTTCACAGCAAAAAAAAAAAAAAGCCAACCCAATCCCCACCTTTAAAGATGCCAAAATAATTTTACTTCTATGGCAAAAAGACAACAAAAGGCAAAGTTGTTCTATATTCATACTACTGTAACAGGATGTTACAGTACCTAACTCCTGAGTAGAATACCTCTTTTCATTATACCAGTGAAAAGTCTGAGGAAGACTGGCAAAAAAAAAAGAAAAACAAAATCCCCCACAACTTACCCTTGAACCAATGCAATCCTGTACTTTGAGGGCAGCAGGTTCCCCAGGTGTTCTCAGTTTAGCCAGATTTCTCCACCAAGCCTATTAACAGCCCCAATTAACTACAAGTGTTCAGCTGTAGAGTCTTAGACCCACTGTTTGCTACAATTTAGAGAACAAAATTTTAAGGAAAAACAACAGCAGTGTTAACAGAGAGAAACTGCCAAGGTCATATGATTCATTTATCTAGGAGCTTAGCAACAAAGGAGAGCTGTGAAATACTGTAATAGCAATAAGCCAATGGATTAACACAGCATCAAGCAGTATCTTGAAGTTCGAAGTACTAAATAAAATGAAATGCAGTGACAAGAATGAGAATAGGGCATTCAGTTTCTTAGCAGTATGAACTAGTGAATGAATTGTAAAGGACTCACACATTTTAGAGCAATATAAACAGTGAGGAGAGGAAAAAATGTTAGCAAAGCTTTACCTCGGTTAATAAGAATTAAAATAAATTTCTATTTCTTCTTTAATGAAACATTTTGTAGGTGTCTTTTCCATACAAATGACAAGAACTCTGATAGTTATAAATTTTATCCTAAAATATTTAAACAAAAAGTAGAACAGTAAGGATATAATGAAGTACGGTTTAAGATTCACAGAAAAGCAAATAATTCATCTAGCCTACACTGAATGAAAAAAAAAAGAAAAAGAAAACCAGTGACTCATACTGGTAAGCAAGTTCTTTGATTTTAGTTTAAAAAACAGTTTGATGTGTATGTGACAAGAATGCATTGCAGTAAGTGTATCACTATCAATCAAGTCAGAGGATATGTATAAAATATACAGTATCTGGAAGTATTACACCACACAAAACCCACAGTCTGTGATGCAAGTTGAACAGAATCTGTTACAATATCACAGATCCTGAGTAGTCGAGATAAAGCCTTATTTAAATACAAATTTACCAGAGAATATAACCATTGTGAATGAAGAGCATGCTAGGTGTCAGGATGACAGAATCACTTCCACTCGGTAAATATGAGTGTATCATTCTTCAGTAGTATCTCCTTGCTGCAAGCATCAAATCGCATCTGCAAAAGATTTTACCTTGATCACATCTGCAGTCAAATATCAAGGTTTAAGCTTGTATATGAATATATACAAGTGACAAGATTACAAGTCTAATTTTGCATGGCTATTTCCTATGTAAATCTCTGTAATGCTTCGGATACAGTAAGAAATATATGTAAAGTGCTACTTCTTAATAGCAGCTACTACAGAACTTGGGAGAGACTCAAAATCTGAAATCTTCATTTACCATTACTTCTATCTTTGATGTCTCTACCAGTGGTCCATCCAGTCACCCACCCACCCACACTATTGGACTAAAATTTGTCTGTTCTCTTTGTTTGTTTGGTTTGTTTCCAATATGGAATAAGTTCTTCAAGGTGTCTGCATTTAATGACACACACAGTCTGAATGAGTTTTCAGTCAGTTGAATAATTCTGCTTTTCTGTTTGCAAGAGATGGTAAGAAAGGAAGTACCTATTTCATTTCTTTCCCTCACTTCATGTTGTAAAAATGCACACATTACTCTGTTTGGAGCAGGAAGGGCAAGGAAGTCTGTTGCTACACACAACCACTCAAAATAGCAAGAAATTCCAAACATCTACTTAAAATTTTAATTATAAATTTATTGATGTTTACTTTATCCATTGTATTTTAAGGCTTCTTTGACAATTAGTTTACCAGCTGCTCTTTTTTGATGTTTACTCCCTGGGGACTCAAAGGTTATATGCAACCTGCCCTTTTATTCTCCCAGGTTCTAGCATGCATCCTAGTTGCATTCTGACTACGAGCTGGCATGTGGCATCCCTATGGTGTAGACAGCAAGTTATGCCTGTCTGAAGGCAGCATTTGTTGTGTCCTCAACCTGAACAAGAGGAATTCCTTGTTAATTCCAGCTACCATGTGATCTACAGACAGCTTGGGAAAAGCTTTTGTTTTATTTCTTTGAAAGATGAGTCCTTTTGCAGTGTTCTGTATACGGGTGAATGGAACTGTAGCTTGCATCACGGTATTATGGGCAAGAACTCATCAGTATCTTGTAAAACTTTTCCATCTTAGTGAGGAATTTCTCACTGAACATCCCCTTTGTCAACCACAGCCCTTTACAGACCCCTGGAACTGACAAGCAAACCCAACTCCTCCTTTCCAATTGCTCTTGATCACTTGTGGGTTAAGTTAAAACCAGGTTTTTGTCACTAGCCCTTCAGTGAATTACATTATTGTTCATATTACTAAAGTTCATTAAATTTCTGTTATTCTATTTCTTATGGTTACACTATATCCAGATCTGTCCTGATGTCTTTCAGATTTATCAGCTAATTTTAATTTCTGCACTCAAACATTTTGTGCCAAGGTAATTAGAGAAAATTTAAATAACAATAACCCCAAGCCTGAGTCTTGAAGATTTCTAGTATCAAGTCCCATGGTGATTTTTATCATCTCCTAAGAAAATTAGAGCAGGTGAACTGGGTGAGACAAAAATTTCCCTTCTACATAGATGCTTAGGGAAAGTACGCAATTTTTGTGTTGAATAGCCCATGACGGATTTTTTAATTCCATAAATCCATCTAAGTATTTTTGATCTCTATAAACGATTTTTATATTCATTTACATTCTAAAAAAGCTCTAAAATTCACAGCTTAGTTATATGGCAGGTGAAATAGTACTCCATTTTCTTTTGAACCTATCAGTCTACAATTTCATTTGATGTTACCTATACTTACTAATACTAAAGGTAATAAGCATCCCCTACTGATGCTCTTTCTACCTGCGATTTTATAGACCGCAACCATATTCTCTTTCAGAAGACTCTTCTTGAGGCTGGAAAGAGCTAGTGCATACAGTCATCCATTTTCCTTATATGTCTTATAATTCCTACATTTATCATAATCTCTCCTATGTTTGCTGCTAATTTCCTATGCAGCATCATATAAAATTATTTGTTAAAAGTATTGATAGATGACGTATTATACTGTTCTTCTCAAAAAAAGTCAGTTACCACATGTAGAAATGGCAGCAATTTAGTCTGGCATCACCTTTTGGTTAACACATGCTGCATTTTATTCTGTTTCCTACTTATCTGTACATTTTTAATTTTTCTGTCTCCTGTTTTTTAAACAGCTTTGAATTCTATTGAGGTCAGACTAATGAGGACCAAATTACTTCAGTAATTTTCTCCTTTTATCGAATAGAGTGTATTATATGTTGTTCTCCAGTGAATCCTTATTCCTTCATTATTTTGGAACAATGAATAATGGGTGCCCAAAGTTGAACTCATTAAGCTTGCTTAATTTTATTATCAATGGTTATTTCCTTTTTTTATATATGCAAACTCATGAACTATCCTCATTTTCTTTCAATTTCTGTAATTCCTCTTAATTTAAAACTGAAACAGGGCATTCATTTGGATTTGTAGACATAACTTTTGAATTTATTTTTCCATTCATTTTACATCTTCTGATCTCAATGTTTTACATCTCTCAGTTGATCCTTACTAGTGTCTGACTTCCTAGATAAAGTTTTCTTTCTGTTCCTTTTAGATTTACTCCTAATATGCTTTTAACATGACTGTTCATCTAGTTAGGCTTAGAACTTTTCCTGCATATTTATGTTCCACCTGCAGTCTACAAATAATTCTTTCATCTTTGCAGCTCTGTTTGTATGACCTGTTTAGGTGTCATTGAGAGAGATCATTACTTCAATGCAGTGCCTTTCTACTACACTGCAGCAGAGAGATTTGGTGATGTTCCTGAACCAACACATTATCCCCATGGCCTAAATGCTGTGGAAAGCGATGTAGCAAGCATCCAGGTGTCTCTGCAAAGAGCTGTGTCTGTCACAGCTGAGATGAAGGTGCATTCTAATAGGACAGGACAGGCTCAGGCAGGATGTCTCAGACCAGATCAGGACACAATGTTCCGAGAAGCTTATTAGCACAGCATCTTGCAAATAGTGTCTAGAGTCTTTTTGAGCTTAATGCACTCAATTGCATGATAGAAGAGCAGTACACAGAGAGGCTAAAAACCTTTTCAGAGCCTGCTTGAGGACGGTCAGATATATTAGAAGTTCCTGGCCATACCAGAACCAGGTGCCTATGTAAAAGTCCTTTGTGGTGTACCTACCCTCTGTTCCTTGTGATCTTATTTGCTAAGTACCCAGCACAGATTTTAGTTTTTAATCATTTCAATTAAATAAATATCTCCCTTAATACCTATCTTTAAGCCTAAAGAAAGAAGCTTTCATTTGCTGCTTTTGGTATTCTCTCCTTCCCTATGCTTCAGCAACCAACGATCTTGAAAGAGCAGTTAGGTGGAGAGAAGGGACTCTGCAGTGTTTGCTCACTTGAACCAATGTCATTGAAACTGCTTATACAAGCCAAAAGGATACAGTACCAAACCAGGAGTATTCTTACATTGCAATTTGCACAGAAAAGTCACAGTACACTGACTAAACTACTTGATTCGTTCCTATTTTATCCTTTTACAGACACTCTTAAAGCACCAAATAATGTGGTAGAATACCTATTAAATAAATGAAAGGTGAGATTAATCTGGATATATTTTCATTATAAAAAGTGTCTTTACAACATCATTAACATTTTATTTCTCCCTCAGGCTCTGTAAATGCTGAATAAGAATGGAGAACATCATAACACTGGCTGTAAAAATCAAACATTTCTCACCCAGCAGCAGAAGAAATGGCTATATTATTTATATCAGAACAATAACTGAAGACATTATCAGTTGTTTTATATTATACATGAAGGGGTTTAAGAACAGAGACTTTCAAAAACATGCAGTTCAAAAAATAGTCAAGGTATTAGACGCTTTATCAAGTACTTTTGCATTCAGGCTGTTTCAGTCAATTATGTTTGCTATGCTAAGATTATATTTAACCTCTTAATTTCATAGTAAGATCCCTGTCTGACTAGTTCCCTGACTGAGTTGGGTTTTTCTTATCATAATGGATTCAACAGTAGCCGTATTGCTACTGGCAAAGATGCACCAGAATAAATAAAAGCAAAACTAGATCGATGTTATGTCCAACAATAGCAAGAATATAATTTAAACCTTTGGTTGTTTGAGAAATTTAATCTCCTTTAGAAGTCAGAATTAACTGAAATTAAGTCATATGCAAAGAAATCCAAACCAAAATAAAGCCACCCCAAAATCTATAAATCTGAGGCAACAAAGAAATCTCCCACTTCTTTCATCATCTGAAATATTGGGGAATTCTTTACCATATCCCTGTAGAAATGAAGCCAGGAGAAAGAGAGAGACCTGCGTGGCTAAATAGGGAATTGCTGGGTATGCTCAAGTGGAAGAGGAGAGTTTACAGGTCATAGAAGGAGGGGCTGGCCACTTGGGAGGAATATAAGGCTGCTGCTAGAGGATGTAGGAAGGCAGCTAGGAGGACTAAGGCCTCCTTAGAATTAAACCTGGCAAGAAGGGTCAAGGACAGCAAAAAGAGCTTTTTCAAATACATGGCAGATAAAACTAACACCAGAGGCAATGTAGGCCCACTGATGAACGGGATGGGTGCCCTGGTGACAGAAGATACAGAGATGGCAGAGTTACTGAATGCCTTCTTTGTCTCTGTCTACTCTGCTGCAGGCAGTCCTGAAGAGCCCTGTACCCCTGAGACCTTAGATGAAGTCAGGTCGACCGAGCGGTTTGCCTTAGTCGATGAGGAATGGGTTAGAGATCAGTTGAGCAATCTGGACATCCATAAATCCATGGGTCCAGATGGGATGCACCCGCGGGTGCTGAGGGAACTGGCAGAAGTCATTGCTAGACCACTCTCCATCATCTTTACCAAGTCTTGGGAAACGGGAGAGGTGCCTGAGGACTGGAGGAAAGCAAATGTCACTCCAGTCTTCAAAAAGGGCAAGAAGGAGGACCCGGGTAACTATAGACCGGTCAGCCTCACCTCCATCCCTGGGAAAGTGATGGAACACCTTGTCCTTGGTGCCATCTTAAGGCATATCAAGGATAGGAGGGTTATGAGGGGCAGTCAGCATGGCTTCACCAGGGGGAAATCATGTTTGACCAATCTCAGCCTTTTATGAGGAAATAACACGGTGGATGGATGATGGCAGAGCAGTGGATGTGGTCTACCTTGACTTCAGCCAAGCATTTGACACAGTCTCCCACAGCATCCTCACAGCTAAATTGAGGAAGTGTGGACTGTATGATCAGGTAGTGAGGTGGACTGCGAACTGGCTGAAGGAGAGAAGCCAGAGAGTTGTAGTCTATGGGGCTGAGTCTAGTTGGAGGCCTGTAACTAGTGGAGTGCCTCAAGGATCAGTACTGGGACCGGTATTATTTAATATATTCATCAAGGATTTAGATGAGGGAATTGAGTGTACTATCAGCAAGTTTGCTGATGACACTAAACTGGGAGGAGTGGCTGACACGCCAGAAGGCTGTGCTGCCATCCAGCGAGACCTGGACAGGCTGGAGAGTTGGGCAGGGAATAACTTGATGAAATATAACAAGGGAAAGTGTAGAGTCCTGCATCTGGGCAGGAACAACCGCAGGTTCCAGTATAGGTTGGGGAACGACCTGTTAGAGAGCAGTGTAGGGGAGAGGGACCTGGGGGTCCTAGTGGATGACAGGATGACCATGAGCCAACACTGTGCCCTTGTGGCCAAGAGGGCCAATGGCATCCTGGGGTGTATTAGAAGGGCGGTGGTTAGTAGGTCGAGAGAGGTCCTCCTTCCCCTCTACTCTGCCCTGGTGAGACCGCACCTGGAATATTGTGTCCAGTTCTGGGCCCCTCAGTTCAAGAAGGACAGGGAGCTGCTGGAGAGAGTCCAGCGCAGGGCAACAAAGATGATTAAGGGAGTGGAGCATCTCCCTTATGAGGAAAGACTGAGGGAGCTGGGTCTCTATAGTTTGGAGGAGACTGAGGGGTGACCTTATTAGTGTCTATAAATATATAAAGGGGGAGTGTCACAAGGATGGAGCCAGGCTCTACTCAGTGGCAAACAATGATAGGACTAGGGGTAATGGGTACAAACTGGAACACAAGAGGTTCCACTTAAACTTGAGAAGGAACTTCTCCTCAGTGAGGGTGACGGAACACTGGAACAGGCTGCCCAGGGAGGTTGTGGAGTCTCCTTCCCTGGAGACATTCAAAACCCGCCTGGACACATTCCTGTGTAACATTATCTAGGTGTTCCTGCTCCGGCAGGGGGATTGGACTAGATGATCTTTTGAGGTCCCTTCCAATCTGTAGCATACTGTGATACTGTGATACGGTGAAAGGCCCAAAAGTCACAACCACTCACAAATAAACATGAAACTTTCATATGGGGATATTCACCATGGGCCAGGTGTTGTGGAGAGACATGAATTGAGGAAAATTAGGCACATTTCTCTGGTGTACATGGAGGAACTCTGAGAGTCCTCAGGAGAGCGAGGAACAGAAGCAAAAGGGGCTGTCCTGGAGACTGTGCTTGCCACAATACACTCTCCTTACACATTTCGGATCTCCTAATTTCACCTGGCTATTTTGTGAGGTAACGTTACACAGTACTGCTACTGCTGACACCAGGGACTGAATTCTGGAATCTTCTCTTAGTAAATACACATTTTAAAATATGTAAATACATTGGCTAATTTATTGTGATGTAAATCCATTGCCACACCTATTCACTGTGTATCAGTTTTACATGTCTGGACAAATCTAGGACCCTTGTCATAAGCTCTAAACAGACACATGCCATATTTACAATATAATCCAGAGGTGTGAAGATGGTTTGCTTAGAAAAGCCACAGCTAATTTAATTCTAATTATTCTGATGGCTGTGTCCCTTTGACAGTACAGGCTTCAGCTGCTAATGAGGAAAGCCTATCAGGTCTTCGCTGACTAGCTAGCTGCTACTGTACCTAATCTGTTACATCTGGCCTTGTCAATACTTGTCAAAGTATTGTATAAATCTATATGGGATTCAGTCAAATCCTGTATTTCTTTCACTTTGAGGTTGCAGCTTTAGTTGATGGCTTTTTTCTAAACAAACTTCAGATATTTGGGTAAGTTTCTAAGCTCACTTATGATCAAAGGAGAGAAAGGCTCTTTTTTTTTTGAATCTGATTTGAACTCTTGACACATTTTTCTTTTTTTTTCATACATATTTTCATTCTTGTATGTGTTTTGATGACAGGTATGTATCTGCTTTTGTTTTAACTGAAATTTTTAGTTGTCAAAAAATTTTACTAATATACATTTGGGTTCACGTTTTTTTTTGGTGGTTTTTCTTTTTTTTTTGTCTGAAAGATTATTCTTCAAAGCTCCAATAGATGTCACTATCAAAATATAAAAGAGAGCTGGTTGTGTAATGAAGTCAAAGAGAAAGGCAGCAGGGAAGCCTTACTCACTGGGCTGCTTCAAATCCCAGCATGACAGCACAATTCATTAAGCTAGACACTGAAGCTGCCACCCAAACAGTGCACGTCTTTCCATTCTTTATGTCTTTACTGTTAGATCAAAAATATCTAATAGTTTCACTTAATAGCAAAGTAAGACTGAAATTACTGAGTGTCTGGGCTAACAAGCACTTTCCTGTTCACTTTCTGCTCTCTCCTGATTTAAGTACAAAAAATGGTCTATCTTTTCTTTAGCCCACTTTGCACATTACTGACCTGTGTTTTAAAAATGCTCATTTTTCCTGTTGTTTTGGATCGTATCTGGAGTAGGTCTGCTATGAAGCTTTACTACTGTTTTTGGAAGACCTGTCAAAACATGACAGGGCTGCTTAAAATGGGTGAGGAAAGCTTATGAGTAAAATGATTTCATACCTGTATGCCCGTGTTCCAGAAAACTTTCAGCTTTTGTACGGACCAAGCAGATACTTTGTTCTTTTTGTTTAACTCTTAAATCTTTAAGGGAAAAAAAAACCAAAACAAAACCAAAACCACACCCAACATATTTTCTGTGTGAATATTGCAATCTTTCATAGAATCATAGAATCATAGAATAGTTAGGGTTGGAAAGGACCTTAAGATCATCAAGTTCCAACCCCTCTGCCATGGGCAGGAACACCTCACACTAAACCATATCACCTAAGGCCTTGTCCAACCTTGAACACTGCCAGGGATGGAGCATTCACAATCTCCCTGGGCAATCTTTCATTGTTTTGAATCTCTTTTTTGTACTGCTTGGCATAGAATAGCAAAACCTTAGGTAGCTGCTGCACTAGCTCTACTACTTGACGCTGAGATGACTTTGCCAGCATTACTGCCTTGGAAAACAAGTTACCTTAAAATAATAACAAAAAAAAAAACCCAACAGTTTGTAGTCCCTAATTCTGGGGAACAAGGCTGGGAATGGGAGTGTTTCTATCTTTAGAAAACCTACTGACTTTTCTATAAAACTCTATAAGCCCATATGTTGTATGTAATTTTAATCACGTAGTAGAGCATTTTCACTGGTGCAAGCCTTACAAAAACTGCATCAGGCTCCATCACCAAAATAAATTGCACCACAAGATGTCAGTATCCAGTGCAAACAGCTTCCATGATCATGTCTCCCTATGATATGCTTGTGACCCTCTTCCTGTTTGGAGTTATTTTGAGTAACAAATATGTACAAATGTTTGTTAGTCTATTTAGAAGCTATAAGCTGAAGAAAAAAAGGGACAAGAGTAGTTGGATAATTTGGTGCAAACAACCTATCCAGCCTGGAGCCCCATTGCTTATGTAAGACGTTTTCTCTCTCCGTCTAGAATCCTGAATCTGTGCATTAATTCAAAGACACAGCCACCTGGATGGTCCTGCCA